CTCGAGGTGAATTGCGCGCAATCGAACGGAAAAAAGCTGCTGCGCGAGACCAAACCGCGAGACGACGAACACGATCATAAAATCACTTTGCATATCATGAAACACTACACCTCATTAAGCAGTGCATCGCGGGATTAAGAGGCGCAGTTGTGGCTCGGAAATCGGAAACTGTTTGGAATTTTTTTATTCGTTTAAGTTATTTCATCATCTACAGACTTAATATGTACTTCAAACGTTGTTGCAAAGAAAATTTTATGATAAATAATAGATTATATTTTTTATAAATAGGATTTAGAATTCTCCGAGGTCAAAAAGTAAGATAGATTTGAATGAAGAAGTTGGTTCAATAAGGTGACGTTCATGGAGTGAAAAAATGAACTTTTTTAATTAAATTTTTGACCAAAAGTGGAACAGAGAATATCTCTTCCCATATTGAGATTCATCAAGATTAAAGCAAATTTAAAATTAATTGAGAGAAGGAAAAGGTGGTATACGATGAAATCACAGCCTTGTGTCCTTGCTCCTATTCCTGCGAGAAAATGTTTGAAATTTTTCGCACTCATTCTCAAATTTCAGCCACAACTTTGTAAATTTCAAATTTAAAGATAAATCCATAATTGAAATTATTTAAAATAAACTTTTTAACACATTTATTTGTTGGTATTTTTTATTATATCTTTTAAATTTGCAGTTTAGATGTAAATTTTACTTGCCGATGACTGCTTTTAATTTATTTTAAAATGAAGAGTCTGACTGGATAATGGAGAGCAAGGCGTGTATGCGCGATTGGCAATTTACAAAGCTCACACCACTTAGCAATAATCTCTGTCCGTCGCCCGGTGAAGTGGCCGTTTCACGGCTAATTGACTAAATTATCGCACTGCTGTCGATCGCGGGCGAGAGTGCCGAGCGATTTGCATGTATTTAATTTTTTCCCCACAAGAAGTGCTATTATTGCGATTTACGAGTTCTTATATTCATGCGCGAGGCCAAACATGAACCGTTTGAATAAAAAAGTCTTCACACCTTTGAATATAAAGCGGGTCGGTTCTCACGTTTCATGTACAAGCAAGTGCAAACTTCATGAAAGAAAGAAAACTGATGCGGGCTTGAGTTACACAAGTTTTTTTTTTCATTTTAGCACAGAAACAGCTGCGAGTGCAAATCATTACGAAACCGGTCACCATGTTTTCCCGTTTTGAGCTCTGTGCGACTATTTAATGGACGTGTCAATATTGGCAAAGTGGTTTATTGCCGCGCTAATGCCCACTGCCGACAATGGATGTGCGTCCCGAGCGGTTGCATAACGACCAGGCTGACAATGCTGCACATTGTATATAATGTGGACATATCCTTGAAATAATTCAATAGGAATCGTCAACCGCCCGACCGCCTCTCTCGCATGACAAATCGGCGGCGGCGGCCGAGAGCAAAACTCTTTGTCTCCTAATGGAGGCCATGCAAAGGCAGAGCCCATTTTCGATTGCATGAGTTTTTATTTATGCAACAACTCTCTAGCGAAGAATGCGATTAGCGAGCAAACAAATCAAACAAAGATAAAAAGGGACGCAGCAATATCTCCAGAGATGAGCCGATGCAGAAACAATCGAACTCGGGGTTGCACTTGTGGCCTAGATTGCGGACCAGCTGGCGCCTCCCCCGAAACAGACGCGGCATTTTGAATACTAATGCACCGGCAGGCTGTCTGTTTTAAAAGACCCCTGCAGTTATTCCCAGCGGCCAAAGTGAGTTTGAAAATATAAATAAAATAAAAGGGCGAGGAACTGCCAAAAGTCCATGGCACCATAATAGAGAGGAAGCTGGAATAAAAATCAATTGTGTGGGACATTTGTGCGGCTTCTTGTTCACAATATTAATAAATTTTTATTTTATTGTTTTGCAGAGGCCATGAAAGGGTTCATAGTTCTTAAAAGAACCCCTACAACCATTTAAAGCAAAATTTAAAATTGTTACTGTGCAAACAAAAATAAAAAATAAGCTTCCACAAACATATTATTTAAATGGCCTCTCCAGTTACAATTTTTTTTTTCAACTTAAAAATACTACTTTTTACAAGAGTAAATTTCAATTCAATTTGATCTTGACATTTTGTGTTCTTTTGAATTCGGCAATAAAAATTGTTTCCGTTAAATTTGTAATTAATCTCCATATAAAAATAATATTCTACTGCGTCATTTAGAGAGAACTAATATCCAAGACCCTCATCATATGCAAGGCATGACGTACCCCATATGACCACCATAATAAGCAAGTCCAAGGTCTCATTCTCCTACCGGAATATTACTCTTTTTTCCATCAACAAAAAACGAAATGGTTTTGATGGGTCCCTCGGCTGGAAATGACAGACGGTTTAATATCGGCTTTGTGTGTGTCACAACAGACCGAGTCGCCACCCCTGGTGCTCGTTCGCCTGCTGACTGACAAGGGACAAGGTCAGCCCCAAGCATATCGCATTATCATTCGGGCTGGAAAAGCGCACAAGGCGATGATATTATATATTGGACTTGCTCGTCGCCGCGACCCACATTGGCTTCTAGATGCAGATTTATTGTCGCTCATATCTCAGTGCAGCAGCCGGCGCCGGTAAATAATGACAGATCAAAATGCCTCTGCCAGACTAATGTTGTCGTGACGTATCCATTTGCTCGATTAAAAATAAAAATAATGTTTTTTTCTTGCTGTTCAGCTTTGTTATGAAATGATTAGGAAAGTCTTTACATAAAATGCAAGGAATAAATAAAATTTCTTACTTGCATTATTACTATTTTTAAATTTTAATTTACGGAAAAATCAAATTCAAGAGGAAAAAAATATTGTGATATTTTATAAAAAAAATTGTGGCTTTTTTAAATGTAATTTTGTGCGTGTCAGTTGGAAAAGCGGCTGACAATTTATTTGACAATTCCATTTCCTCTTCGTGTGCACGTTTTGAAAATTATCTTTCCTGCGCCTACGGTGTCTCTAACTCACCTGAGCGATAAAACCGTGAAATTACTTTCCAACGCGCGCACCATTCACGCGAGAAACAATACTTTTGTTTATGGGCGCTGTCAAATGGTGTTAAACACCCAATTCATCAAGGGCTCAATTTACAGGAGTGCGTGAGTTTTCAAAAATAAAAACTGACACCGGAAAAGCAGCTTTTCGTGCGAGACGATTTACGTTTCGCTCAAAAAAGGGTGAAACGCAACAATTTTTGGCAAAAGCCAACCTGACACAATTGGCTGCAAGTTTCGGGGGTCAATTAATCATCGAGGCGACCAAACGACAGGCGAAATTGAAAAATGATCACACAGTCCTAAGTGGCGTCGTAAGCGAGGGGCTCGTTTCTTGATTAGCAACTTTCCAAATCAATCTCTATCACCCCGACTGATACAAAGCAAGACAGGACGTATAGTCGATTTTGACGTCAAGTTTAATTGCCATTCCCGAAAAAGAAACACTGAGTTGCCGATCGATAATCGTCGTTTTGCGTGCTCAAAGCTTAGTTAGCCGATGGTTCCATATGAAAAACGGAATTGTAAATACGGATTATCTCTCATTGGTTTGCTTTTTATCGATTGTCGTTACATAACCCTATGAAAAATCACCAATTGGACTTTTATTATGTAACATTTCAAAATGTTTTATGATAAATTACGAGTTATTTGAGTGCTCTTTTATTTAAATTCCTACAATGCTGGCTTTTATTTTTATTTCTGATTTCGTTATTGATTCTGAGTTCCTTCATTATTGTGTAACTGATGTTGAGCGAGGCTTTTTGTAAAAGTGATGGAAAAGCGTTCACATTTTTCAACTTCCAATAAAGCCCATGTCAAATGTATGCGGAAGATTATTTGATTTTCTCAGCAGGAGGTTAGAGTTTATTGAAGGAGGTATTTTTCCGGCATTGTAATCAATTTTCAAGTTCAGAGTTGACGAAAGGTCATAAGCTTTTTCGCCCCTTGAAAATATGCAACCTGACACCAAATCCGAGATAACTAAAAGATTAAATTTGTGTCTTTTTCATCAAACATGAGCAAATTTTGAAACAACAGACGTTTGAAGTAATTGAATAAAAGAGAAAATTTAAACTTGATTTCAACGACTGAAAAAAAGTCTATTATTTATGTACTGAGATTTTCAAATTGTATTTTACGGCAATTCAAATGGGCAAATTTAAATTAATAATAACTTAATGAAAGTAATAATTATTTTTAGCTTGGGTTCATTAAAAATCAATTGTAATGAACATGAAATAAACTTGATAGGAGGTTTGATCCACTTTAAAGAGAAGGGTTCGTTCGATTTAAAGAGCACCTTCCCCTAGTATGTGGCTAAAACCAACCACTCCACGTGCGTGTTGAAAGCAAGAAGCTGCAGTGAGTGTATAATATAGAATTTCACAGCTCGGAAAGGGACAAAGGCGGAGATGAAGAGGCGTGAATGGTGAACTCGGCAAAAAAAAACTCCCGCTGCGCTTGCAAATAAAAATAATAATGCACCCTCAACTTTTACATGCATGGGGGTTTGCGGCTCTCGTTAGTTTCTCTGAGCAAATCTGGCTGATTGCGCTCGAAAGGCTTCGGTGTCTGGTAGAAAGAAGGGTTGCAGGGGGTTGATGTATAGATTCGATAGGTCATGGGAAGGCGGATTTTTATGCAATTCTGCCTCAGCGAGAGGGAACGGGAGTGAGAAACAATGCTGGGTACTTGCGCGGCTTCTAACCCTCAACACATGCACACAATGGAAGCTGTACGAGTCGCAATCAGCCGGCGAGCGAGCTAGCGAGTGAGGCTTCGATTTCACCAAAAGGGCTCTATTTTGTTTTGACACCGAGAGCAAAGCAAGCAGGATTATGATAATTATTATTCGCTGCTCATGCCAGTGCTCGCGGCGAGGAACCGCTATTTCATCCTGCCGCATAGATTAATTCACGCGCGCCTTTGTGTGTATTTCCGAACCGACGTAAGAGGACTTGACAAGGGTTTTAGTTTTACCCAAAACAAACAAGAGGAAGAGGAAATTGCAAAAGCTGCTCGGGCGAAATTTATCGGGTGGTTATTTGCGGGCCTGATGCTCTTGTAAGTTGAGTTTGATGTAACATGGGTAAATCTGCCAAAAAAAAAAAAATATATAAAATATCAATGAAAATAAAAATTTATATGGAAAATTTAATGCATGTAATATCTTTATAACGTTTATATTTGTGTCAATAATGTTGGGCAAATACACAGCTACTACAAATTGGTTTTTCAATGAAATTTTTTTAAATGGTGAACTGAACATTTTAATAATATTTCTTGCATTTTGAAGAGTTAAAAATCATATCAGTCGTGCTCAGGGTGTTGCCGTTTATTAGTTCATATATTATTTCCCTGTATTTTAAAATAAAAAACAATAATATATTAAAAATAAATATATCATATTTAATTAAAAAAATCTTTGTTTATAAAAATAAAATAAATTTAATAAGCAGTTAAAATTTTGTCATTAAATTTTATATTTCATAACTTCAAAATGCAATTTATTTTCCATTTTCTTTTTTCAATCACGTTGACTTCTAGTGGTGATTTTGAACGTCTAATATAAGCTGCGTGAAAAAATAGAGGGTCGACTTAAAATGCGCAAATTAATTTGAACAACTTAAGTTGATGAAATTGATTTCAAAAAACCCGACAAAACCTATTCGCAGATACTTCAATATTTCCTCCTTTATTCACATTGGTTTTTTGTTGCTATTATAGCCAAGCGTGAAGGCTCTCATTAAGATTTTTGGCTGTTCGCAGGCAGCCCTCGAAGCTCGACATTACCCACTCGACCTCGGCGCCTTTTCGCTTCTTCGCTCATTAGTGGCGAAAAAAGCAAACTTCGCGCTGATGCACGCTTAAAAAAAGTTTTAGGCGTTACGTCAGCTCGCGGCGGGTGCACTTGAAACTGCTCTTTCCGACCGTCTCACTCGACCAACAAGACACATGAGCCGCCGGAACATCGCTAGGAGGCCTCTTCAAACACCATGTACACCAGCAGCAGACACCTCGCTATTTATTAACCAACCGGCTGTGTACGCGAAACAACACAACGTTTTGATTAATTCAATTCATGTTTGTCTTGTTCAGCAGTGACGCCGGCCGGCCTGCGAGCATTCATTTACCTTTAAGCCTCGAGCTGTTCTAATTATTGTCACTGTGCTCAGAAGTTTTGCTTGACCGCTGCGGGGGTGTTGTGAATTTTGTAATTAATTTTTGGCTTGTGGCCACTGCTAAATTTTCAAAGGTTTCTTGAGCCAGCTGCCATTTAGATGTACGTTTGATGATAGCCTTTGAGGCGGTAAATTGCACATTTTATTTAGCCAAAACGATTAAATGCCGAATTGCATCCCAGCGAAGTGTGCAGGAATAATTATGACGGCAGGGAGGTTGAAGGGGCGTTTCTGCACTGACAGGCCAAGGTAAAAATTTATTATGGTGCACAAGTTGCGGTGCAAAAAGTTTCGCTTCTGCTTTAAGACTCGGAAAGAGTTGATATTTATGGGCGTTGAAAAAGTGCGGTGGCAGCGAGTGTGTTTTTTCGCAGACATGTAATATGCGCTCACGGCAACAACATGCACGAAAGTTGGAATGTATTCGTATGTGTGTTTGCTCTAAACGCGGCATAATCAAGAGAGATGTGCCACAGCGCAGATTTTTTCTGTCTAAAGAGAATTTGCGCAGTTGACGGAGCAATTGTTGCGAAAAGCAAACTTTCCTCCAAATAAATTGATAATTTGAGAAAACAAAATAACTGTTAACTCTGAAAAAAATGCCCCGTCCTGCAATTTTTTTGTACAAAACTTTCTGGTAGATTCCCGATTCTAAATTGACTTAAAAAGTTCATAATCTGTATGGAATTTTTATAATGTGAGAAAATAAAGTGACTGAAACCCTGAAAATATTTGCAAAGTTTGTATAGTCTCAATTAATTTTTTAATGAATTAGGAAGTGTTTTCCCAGTTGTTTTTTTTAACTTTATTCATTTCTGTAAAAATAATTACTAGAAAATTTAAAATAAAAATCTTATTTTCTGCTTCAATTAATTCCAAATTTATATTTATTTTTCATCAATTCATAATGTTGGAATTGAATTGATTGAGTATAAAAATCTGTGCGAATTTACTCAACCCCAGCACGCTTAAAAGCTAATTAGCATAAGTTCATTATTTGGCCGGAACAATCGTTCCCACAACAGCAACTTAATGCATTTGAGAGTTGGATAATTAAATCATCTCCTACATTTGTTCTCCCCCGCGTTTCTTTCATTCCGGTGGGAATCCGCCCGTTGCATTATTATTACATCGAGGCAGCTGCGCATTCAGCAAAAAGACGCTCATGAATAATTTGTTTCGGAAAGAATGGCTGTGCGCATTTTCCTCTTCTTCGCCATTATTGTTATCAAGCAGGATTATATTATTATTCCACCTGAGAAAGTTCAATATTTGCGCCGGGCGGGCATCCAAGTGAGCGGCTGCAGGCAAGAAAGTGAGCAAACATTTTGCATTAGTGTGACACACGCGATGTTTAAGTTTGCGGTAAGAAAGGAAGACGGTGCGAGCAAGAGAATGAAAAACCAACCACCCCTTCCCACGTCCGACCACTCATATTGATTGGGCAAAGAATAAAAGAAAAAGCGCCTTAGCCGGCAGCTGCTTTCCTTTGCCCGCGTCTTTGAGTTTGTCCAGGTATCAAATATTTATCAAGATAAAAAGCTTTTCATGTTTGGCTGGTCCTTTGGGAAGCGCGGATCAAAGATTCGTCATCTCAGTGGTGACCATGGTCTGTGTCAAGTGGCCGTGTTTGACACTTCTTCATCATCAAGGACGGACTCGGATATAGAAGGAGACAAGGTTCGGCACACCAAGGACGCCAAAAGCCAGGGGAAGTTTTTCTCCACTTCAAACGCAAGGCAATGTTCGGTTCTATTTCAATTCTATTCAATTACGAGCTGGTGATCTTAATATTAAATCATTATAGCGGTCCATTAATAAGTAAAAGAATAAAATGAAACAATTCAGCATGTAAATTATTAAATTTATAAAATAAATAAATTTTGGTCTTCAAGTGTTTGAATATGGAATTATTTACTCATAAAATAAGAAGGGAATGGAATAATTTTTTTAATAAAAAAATTTGAAATATGAAAGAATTAAGCAATAACACTTTTAAAATTATAGGGTAGATTTCAAGCCCTTTAGTCGCCTTGTCTGTGGCTTCGCATGCGTTTAGGATCCATCATCAACTATTAATAAAATAATAACCAGTTTCTGGGATTAATAGGTGTGCGTGTGAAGTGCATTTTATTCGGCAGAGTGCAACTCGCATAGGGGGAAGCGTGAAACGGTTTTGATGGCGTGCTGCGGCTTCTCGATAATACATAAAAGTGGCCATTTCCTCCGAAATGAGCGCACACCTTTGGCCCCCAGCGGACAGAATTATAGAAATTTATCGCTACCTGCTGCACTCCACGCACACACCAAATAAATTACACGCTGCATTAAATTAACGTCCACCTGCCCTTGATAAATTGCGTGGGGCGCGAGTGCAATAAGTTTCGATGTCTGAGTTACTATCGCGTTTCTTTCTCCGGGTCCTCCGGTTTTCGGACCCTTTCGTTTTCCACCACTTGGCCGAGAGCCAAATTTCAACTGACGGCTAAAAAGGGGCGCGCACCGTCGGAGTTTTCCACGATTGCTCTCCGGTAATGAAGTGGAATGGAGAAGAAGACAAAGCGGACGACAATTATTGTGCAAAAAATGGGCCAGTGGTGTCACAGTTGCCAGTCAGAAAATTGCTGCAGAGAGTTGAAAGTACCGAAGCAATTATTACTCTTCCTTTATTTCAAATTAAAATCGCTGCAGATGAGAGAGAGACGAGGAGCAGTTTAGAAAAGTTTTACGGCGCCGTCGCTTTTCTATATTGATACTGCAAATGAAGAGGTAGTAAAACTTGCTTTTAATTATATCTACAGCTTTACTGCCAGCAGCCGAGATGAGTTTTTATGTTCATTCTGAGAGATGAGATATTAGAGAGACTAAAAACTTGAGTAATTGACAATTATTATTTCTTCTTACCGATTCCAGGCAGATCAAAGCACTTGGTAAAAAATTCTATGTAAGAAGCAGCAATATGAATAATACTTTTACCAAATCAAATTTTTAATTTCATCTGATACTTTTGATACTTCTTGTTTAACGAATTCTGGCAAAATTAATCTCTAAAATTATTCATCAAAGGAAAAGGCTGAGTTGCTTGAAATCCGAGAGCACCAGGCCAGATTACCCCTTCAAAAAAAAACATACGTCCCCTTCTTTTCTGCTTCCTTAAAAGCTCCTATTAAAAGGCTGCGTTTGGAGATGGGGACATATTTTTTTCCTGCTTCATGCCAAGGTTTTTGACTCGAGACGGAAACGATTTGAATAAAATATCAAATCTCATCTGGGGCGTTTTTATTTTTTTCAATAAAATAGGAGCAGTTCTATCTCTTTTGAGGAGTGTCACCTTTAAATAGTCAACTTTTCTTCTTTCTCTCTATGGCGAAAAAGATGAGGACGCAGATTTGCGGGACGGGAGTGGTCCGCTGCTTTTGTGCGAGAGTGAATCGGAGACGGGTCACTAAAGGTCATGTGGCGGCAGAAAGTGGTTTACTTTAGTGCGAGAGTGCGGTGCGCGCACAAGGTGATTCGAGAGCGTTTTATTTGGAACTTCTCTGCGTGCCCCGACGTGAGCCCAGGTAATTGAATTCTCCGCCTGCCTTTGAGTCCAAAACTTGAAACGGAATATTTTATCACAAGAGTACTCCGGCCGCTTAGGTCTATGCAGAGAGAGACAAACTTTTGTTTTGGAAACACGAAACTTTTTGAAACCCGGAGATGTGTCAAGAATCGAGTTTCAAACACAAGAAGTGTAAATAATGGTGGATCAAAAGTTAAATTTATTTCGAGGAAATAAAATAAAAAGGAGGTTGAAAATTAACCCAAAAGAATTTAAAATTTGCAGTCAATGCCAAATTTTTTTAAATGTTCATTTTCTCTCATTTTAAAACAAATTTTTCCTGGAAAAATAAGAAATAAAAAAATCACC